TACCTCAGTGTGAGAATCTGGGTTCAATCCCAACTACTGCAAAAATTTTAAAGTTATTAATAATTAAGATTATGAGCCAATGTGGCGTACACCTGTAATCCCAGCAGTTTGGACGCTGATGCAGGAGGACCATAAATTTGAGTCCCAGCCTGTGCAACTTAGTAACTTGACGAGACCCTGTCTCAGTAAAACACATAAAAGGATTTAAGAACATCACTCAGTACAAAAATTCTTAGGTTCAATCCCCAGTACTGTGCACCTCCCTCCCCAAGAATTATGAAGAGTGTAAAGCTCAATATTATATGCTTTTTCATAGTTCTAGTATGCTATTAAGAACAACTGTCCATTTTTCAAATGAGAAAAGGACCAAAAGAAAGAGGGGAGGGGAAGAGAAACATAAAAAGAATTAAGATGTGTCATGTACAAGAACTGTATCAACTCCCATGATCAATGTAATCATTATGTACTACAAACATGTAGTCATAAAAATTGTAGTAGATATCCATATGCAGCTTGATTAGAGGAATGGGATGGGTCTTTAAATTCCAGATGCTTATGCATAAACTTAGGGAAGCTAGCTCTCTCCTACCTTTCTTTTCTTTTTCTTTTGACTTTGTCTTTTATCCTGAATGGCCCTTTTCCCTTATGGGTTCTATACTTTCATTGGAACTACTTGGGAGAATAATTTCACTTGTGAGTGATTTCTTCTCTAATAACTGATATTTCTTGAACACTCACGATATGCTAAGCAGCATCACAATTATTCCGCTCAATAATCAGGTTAAGTTCAGTACATTTATTATCCCCAATTTAAAGATGAGGAGACAAGTCTATCGGATTACCTGAACTCAGCTGCCATTCTTCCTTTCCATTATGCACTATCCTCTAGCCTTGAAGATGGCATACTTGGCTGGGAAAGTAAAAGTGGCTGGTAGGGAGGCTGGGGATTTAGCTCAGCGGCATAAGCACCTGCCTTGCTAGCAGGCGGTCCTGAGTTCAATCCCCGGTACCGATAAAAATGAAAAAAAGACCAAAAAAAAAAAAAAAAAGTGGCTGGTAGGAAGCCATCCAGAAAGGGCATTTAGAGAATTTAAGGAAAAGTACACGAAATGTGCAATGTATATGCTGCTTGACAAATAGTCTTATTCTGTTGTGCCTTGGCCTATTATAAAGTTTTGGAGGTCAGATCACAGAATTGATCAAGGATGACAGCAACCTGACTTTCTCAGGACAAAACTGGGTACCGTTTTTCTGATATGGCATAGTCTGGTGCATCAGAATGGACTGCAGAGTAAACTAACATGCGGATTCCAGGAACCACCTCACCTTTGCCCCTCACCTACTGGTAGTAAGAAATTGACTTTGTATGCAAGCTCAAATAATTCCTGCATACCCTGATTTAAGAGCAACCGTAGATACCACTGTGAAGTTCACCTCTTATCAAACAGATATATGTGATTATATACACATATAACCAGTTATCAGTTATTTCTAACTAGGGCGATAATTAGAATCATTTATAGAAAACTTGAACATATAATTGCTTGGCTTCTGACCCTAAGCCAATCTAATTCAGTTGGTCTATGATGGAACTGAGATACATGAATTATTTTAATGTTTTAGGGATTGAGCCCAGAGTGTCAGGCATACTGAGCAGCTACTCAGCCACTGAGCTACACCTTCAGGCCCATGAATTTTTTTTTTGAAGACTCAAAGGCAATTTTTATTTGGGAATTACCACTGGTTGGAACCTTCTCTAATGAAATTTCAATTTTTAGATAATTCTCTAATGTTCAGTTTGTCTTCACTTTTGAATAAGGAAGCCTGATAAAATTCAGGTGTGGTAGCGCACACTAATTCCAACACATAGGAGGCTGAGTCAGGATTCTGAGTTTAAGCCCAGCCTGGGTAACTTAGCAACTTAGAGACAAGCTGTCTTAAAATAAAAAATAAGAAGGGCTTGGAATGTAACTCAGTGAAAAAGCCCTTGAATTCAATTCAATTGAGAGAAAAAGAGAGAGAGAGAGATGATAACCATGTGAGTCACCAACATGATATATACTTGTCCTGTTTCCAAGGTAATACTGATCTGTTTTTTTTCAACAAAACCAAATTGTCAAGAGAGTAGATGGTCAACGTGGCTCACGAACTGCTATACTCTGCTTACAAATACAATATAACCACAGCTTCCAAGATTTATTGCTTCATTTATGCTACAAAGAACCAAGGGAAACCAACTTTCAGTATGCTCAGTAGAGTCAGCTATGTTCACAGCTGCACATAATGTTGAATGTACACTGATAGTACGACAGCTAAGTTAGGTAGAAATATCAAAGGCAGTCAGACAGGGCTGGGTCCTTGAGCAAGTCAGAGCAAGGATGAAAACACATTGCAACTATAGCTGGAGCTCAGTTATTGAAGGCCAGGCCTCAAGGTAAAGCTGACATGACTACTGGGCATGGTGGCACATGCTTATAATCCCAGCACTTGGGATTACTGAGGCAGGACAATTGCTGTGAGTTTAAGGCCAGCCTGATCTACAAAGTGAGTTCAAAGCCAGCCTGAATTGCATAATGAGACACTGTCTCAACAAACAAAACAAGATGGAATGACCAGGCGTGCATGCCTCCCCAAGGGATAAGCATTCAATTAAAGATTATACCATAACTGGTAGTACCCGACTCAATAAAGACTAGAAAAATAGCAGTCATTCGGATGGGTGATCAGGACCTCCTGACCCATCTCTTCCTAAAAGGTCTTTGTCTTTACCATGTACACTTGCTATGTGACCTTCTTTCCCATTGGATCAATATTACGTCTAAGTGGCTATCCTTGTAAACCTATTGGTTGATCATAGTTTTGACCCATATTGTACACAGCTCATGATTTTGCCTCATAAAACTTCCTTTGAGAAGTGGGCTCATTGGAAACTCACTTTAAGGTCCCCTCCTATCTCTCAGGAGCTATCTCTCTCAGTAATTATTTCCTACTCTTAAACTTACTGTTCCTTAGAATTCATTCTTCAATTTTGGGAAATACAAAGTCGGCATATCTGATATGTAACAGGTTGGGAGTTACATTTTTCCCCCTATTAGCACAGACACATACATGCACACAGCCACGTAAGTGTTAGATTTTGTCTTTTTTTCCTACCATTTCATCTTTCTTCAACTCTCTGCTCTCCTTTATCTATGTTTATCTGCAAAAGCTTTGATCAGCAGATCAAAGGCCTCCCATTCAGTTGATGACATCAGGCCTAGAGAAGTTAAGTGGCTTGCAAAAGTTCGTTCAGTGGAAATGGAGACTGACACCAGGCTGCATCCTGCAGGAGATCTCAGCTACCTCTCCTCTTGCCTGGACAGACTTTATGAAAAAAAATTTGTTCTCCAGCTACATGCCAAGGGGAACATCATTTAATTATAATTTGACCCTTTGTGGAAGCTAGAGCAATTCGATTTCTATGTAAGTGTTTACAGAAATGATGACTGGGGTAGGGATTTAGCTCAGTGGCGTAAGTGTCTGCTTGCAAGTGTGTAGTCGTGAGTTTGAGCCCCAGTACAAAAAAAAAAGAAATGATGACTAATAAAATATATAAAACATTTTCTCATCTCCAAGCCAAGTTATTTTCTAGAAAGCAGTGTTTTCATATCCCTTTAATATGTCAATTACCATTTACTTGTATTTTGACAGATTTACAAACAATCCTTATTTTTAAAAACTCTTTCAAACAAATCTTGGGCAACCTTTCCTGTTTGTCTAAGGCTGATAATGGCAGTATTATTTTCATTTGTTTACTTAGGTTTGGTTACTTTATCTGACACAGCCAGATGATCCAGCATTGTTTTTCAAGTCTTGTGTATCTTGTTTCTGATTTGATAAGGTATCAACAACTAGAAGTAATTGCTTCTCTTCCTCCAAGAGCTCCCCTAAAAATCTGAGGCACAGCATATTTTAAAGCAGAAATGGCTACTGCACTCTGTTGTAAACATATTTTCATGAATCCAGTTTAGAACTCAAAAATATCTTACAAATCATTACATTCAATTTCCCCACAAGAATGTGATTTGCTCAATGAATCATGTCATGTTCATAGCATAAGGAAAATGATGCCTGGAGGACTAACCCCATTTATGTCACCATCTTAGCAAATTTATGCTTAAATAGTTCCAAGGAAGTGAGAGAAATGATGGATGAATATTAATGCAGAGTTCAAACCCTGACGCCAGAAGCTGAAGTGGCATATGGTAGTATCAACGAAAAGGAAAATAAAAATTTACTTTTCTCTAAATATAGGAATCACTATTATATCATAATATTATATCAATAACATTATATATATATCACTTATTATAATATGTCACTTATAATATTAATTTTGGTGACACACAAAATACAACACATGTATCATATACAACCCTGTGTTAAAATGCTTAGGAACACCATCATTGTGAGACAGGACTACACTTTGCTCTGTCAGATTTTTGTCATGAAGTCATAAATACAGGACATGGGATCTGAGTAGTGTAGCTGAGTCAGAGAGCAGAAGTCAAGAGTCATGCGGAAATTACCTAGAAGCCAGCTCAGCGATGACCAGCCACTTACCTTGGCCACGCCTAGCACTCACCTTCTACCTCACTGGTTTCACTCTTGGAAGCGTGTGTGTCCCTTTCTAGACTGTGAGCTTGTGAAGGACAGGGACCATGCATTTGCAAATCATCTTTTCACTTTTTGCACTTAGCACATCACCTGGCACATAGTAGCAATTAAACCAATAAAGACACAAATGAAGGAACGATCAGCTATTTTAGGGGATTCCTGGATTTTCACACAGATCTATTACAGTGAGAGAGAGGTTCACTCTCTCTCATCTCTCATCTTGAGACAATAAGAAAATATATGTTCTACTTTTAACAGAAAAGAGCCTTGCACTGTGCAAATGATGCAATAAATGTTGTTCAGTGATCAAACACAAAGAAAGAGGCATAAATTTATCCACTTACTTGCAAGCAAGCCAACTCCGCTTGCTAGGGACCCGACCCAGGCTGTTTTTCCTTTCCCTTCACCAAAGGCATCCAGCCACTCGATGTATAAGACTCCAACGGCCAGCGGGGAACCGTAACACAAAAACTGAGTGACGAAAGAGACAAACACAATCACCCAGCCCCATCCACCGTCAGGTGACTTTTTATGTTCCATTGTAAGGTGAAGTTAAGGCAGGGTTCTCCGTAGGTCCTAAAAACAAAAACAAAACAGAAAGGAAAAGAAAAGCCCATCAGAGTGTGGTGACACTGTATTTTAGACTAAAATATCTCCTCCCAAATTATATAATTTTTTAAAAAATTCTCTAAACATATACATGGACAAAGTTCCACTGATACGTCAAGTTAACTTCAAAATTTCACTTTTGATTTCTATAATCACATAGCTACTAGTACAAAAGAAGTGGGTTTTTTAAGGGTAAAAAAGACAGTGAAATGTCTTCTTCTTAGCATTATCCCCCTTCAGCAGGCTCCCAACTCTTCCCTGCTGCCAGGGAGTCACCAACTTTAGTCTCTCTGTTCTTAGTTTCTTTAGCTCCCCAGGAGGAGACCTTTGGGAAGGAACACTTCACAGGGGTGCTCCCGGGTCTGTGACTGTGGCAGGGAACACTCGCAGGGCGAGAGGGTAAGTTGCCATGCCGCTGAACGGAGGGGCTTCTCACAACTCCTGGCAGCTCCACCTTGGAAGCAGCCTGTGTGTTCATCAAAGAAAGAATGGGAAGTTTCTTTCCCTTTCTCCTTCTCAATATCTGTTGTACATTTTGGATCTTATTCTTTCAGTTTTTTACACTAGGGAAGACAATAGGAAAGAACAACTATGATAGGGGAAAAGAGGAAAGAAGAAGAAAAAAGATTATACACACACAGGATAGATAACTATACTACTCATCTCTTAGTTGATGAGAAAGAATGGTTTGTGCATCTGTTGTCTGACTGCTTGATCATTTTTTCATGCCTATATCTTATAATCTACAACTACTTTAAAGATAGCAATACATAATATGTTAACCAATATTAATCTATTATTTTATTTTGAAAGTCTACATCATCATTTATTTGTTTTAAAATTAAAAAGAAGAATGGATAAAGAAAACTGTGGTGTTTATACATAATACAGTACTACCCTGCCATAAAGAAGGATAAATTTGAGGCATTTGTAGGAAAATGGATATATCTTGAGACGATAATGTTACATAAAACAAATCAGACACCTGAGCTTAAATATTACATGGTTTCTTTTACATGACAATTCCAAAGTATAAATAGTTTAAAGAGCAAAATAAGAGACACATAAGAGAAAGAAAAATAAAGGGGCTTCTAATGTTCCAGAGATGCCTGAGGGCTGCCCCTTGTGCTGCCACTGGGATCACGTCACCCCAGGGAGGGCCGTGACCTCCAAGGATGCAGCTCCCTCCAAAGGAAGCCATCTGGCTCCAGAAAGGTGGTCAGCTGAAGGCCATCTGCCAACAGCACTGCTAGCAGCTGGGCCAGGGCATTTGCACCCTGGGAAAATAAATGAGGACCTGGGAGCAATCACAACATTCACCAGCCCAAGTGTCCTTCCAAAGTTTCCTCACACACACTTACAGCAAAGCCAGGAAAATATTCTTAGATTTCCTTTTTTTATACAAAAAGGAGCATATTACTTAACATCCTCAAACATTTTCCCCTATCAATACACAGAAAATATCCTTAGTCTTATTTCTTTTAATCAGTACATGGTATCTCACCATATGGTTATACACTTTCTTGTTTACTGATCTACTTACTGAATAAGCCACTTGCCTGGTTCAAAAATGAAAGAGGGGCTAGGGGTGTACTTCAGTGACAGAGCACTTGCCTACAATCTGGGAGACCCTGAGTTCAATTTCAGTACCACAAAAGGAGGGGGGCAGACACACAGCCCCTGTCTGCCCATTTCCTACCTAACCCTCATCTCCTCCATAGGTAACAAAACTTGCCTTTTAAAAATACCTTTCTACAGTTCCTTTATCATATATAAACAAAGATTTATATATGATAAATAGATTTCCTCTATTTAAAATAACATGGTATATTACACATGTTGGTATCTGCCTCACTTTTTTCCGTGTGATAAATGTCTTGAAGCTCTTTCACATCAACACGTCTTCCTTGTTCTTTTCTTAGTGTACCACTGAACTCCAATACAGAGCTTTCTCTTAACTTGTGTAACCAGTCCCCTGTGGCTGACAATGAAAAGCAAAAACGCTGTGAAGAACCTTCCATACATAAACATCTGTTTTGCTTATGTGCACTTCTATTAAGCAAAACGCAAAAGAGGATTTACTGAGACAAAGGGAGTGTACTTTTATAACTGGTATTGATATTACCAGTTACCACTGATATTTCAAAGAGATCAAATCAACTTATCCCAAGCCTCTGTGAAACTTTCAGAATTCTGACAATCTGTCAACCTTAAGGCGGTATTTCAAGGCATGGTAGCCCACCCCTGTAACCCCAGAGCTCTGGGAGGCTGAGGCAGGAAGACTGCAAGTTAAAGCCACCCTGGGCAACTTGGTGACTTAGAGTAACCGTGTCTCAAACTGAAAAGGGCAAGGGTGTACCTCAGTGTGAAGGGCTCGTGTTCAATTCTTAGTCTCTCTCTCTCTCTCTCTCTCTCTCTCTCTCTCTCTCTCGCGCGCGCGCGCGCGCACGCGCGCGCACACACACACACACACACACATTTCATTGTGATTTTAACTTGCATTTTTCACAGTATACCATATGTTGTTTAAAGAGTAAACAATCATGTGAAGTTCTTGAGTATATCTGATTTTGTTTGTAGATTTTCTATTCTGCCCCTTATTTCTATTTATTCATTACCAGATTACCATTACCAGATTAGTTTCATTACTAAGTCTTTTTATATAAACTTTAAAAATATATTTCAATCTCAAGTGGAGTTAAATTTCTTCTCTCTCCATCACAGTACTTCAACATTTTTCTATATACTCGTTTTACTATTTGATATGAGCTTCAGAATTGACTTTTTTGTTTCAAAAGGATAGTGTATTCATTAGGATTCAGTTAAATTGAAAAATAGGGAGCTGGAGGTTTAGCTCATCATCATAAGCACCTGCCTTGCAAGCAGGCAGTCGTAAGTTCGATCCCCGGTACCGATAAAAAGGAAAAAGACCAAAAAAAAAAAAAAAAAGAAAGAAAAGAAATTATTAAAAAAAAAAAAGAAAAGAAAAATAGAGTTGAGAGCCACATGTGGTGGTACATGCCTGCAATTCCAGCTACTCTGTAGGCTGAGACAGGAGGATGCCTGTAACAGTAAGCAACATCCCTAGTCCTTTTTATTTTTGTTTTGAGATGGCATCTTGCTAAATTGTTCAGGCTGGTCTCAAACTTGGGATCCTCTTGCTTAGCTTCCCAAGCAGCTTGGATTACAGGTATGCGCTATCATACCTAGCTATCTATGTTGAATCTTTTAAGAATATGGTATGATTTATATTTGTGCAAGTCTTTTTGCATTCTTAGTATTTTAAACTTTTCAATTACTGCTTCTTGATGTATTTTATCATTTTTACTAGTGTGTGTGTGTGTGTGTGTGTGTGTGTGTGTGTGTGTGTGTGTTTGTGTTTTACTGGGAAATGAACCAAGGAACTTCATACTGAGCTAAATGTCTGGCAGTTTTTTGTTTTGTTTTGTTTAATTTTCTTTTTTGGAACAGAGTCTTGCTAACTTGCTCAGGCTGGGCTCAAACCTGTGATCTTTCTGCCTCAACCAGAAAGCTGAGTGCTGAGATTACATGTATGTGCCACCATGCCCAATTTAATTTCCTTCTCTTTATTTTTGTATTGAATAGTACATTCTGAGTGTTGACTAATAAGAAGATACATTTTGGTCTAATTCCTAATTTTAGTGGGGATAACTTCAAATGCCCGAGTTCTGCCTCTGAGGTTAGATTTATTTTTCCCAAGTGAAGAAAGCAATCATATTTTTCTACTTTTGAGTATTACTATCAAGAATGGTTATTACATTTAATCAAACACATTTTCACTAAACAGCAAGATGATAATACGATTTTTCCCTTGCAATTTTTACTATAATAAATTTGCATTTTCTCCCATTGAAGCATCCATTAATCATTATATTACATTTTCCTTGGTTAATGCATTATATTCACTTTTAGTCTACATTACAAAAGGTTTTCATTTAATTCTTAAGTAAATTTAATTTTAGGTAAATTTGCCTATTTTTGTTTTCAAATTTTACTAGATTTGGGGCTCAAGATGATATTACTTGAATTTCTAAAAACTGAAATTATTTTTTCTTTTTCTAACATCAGAAACAGCTTCCACAGCCGTGCATTTGGAGACCTAAGGTCTGATCTTCAAGTCCACATCTCCCACTTAACCCTCAGTGTCTCTGCCATGACGGGCTTAGAGTTAATTTCAGCAGAGGCTTCTTTACCTACAGGTTTGCCAAACTATTCCCTTGGCTGTTGTTTTATCAGATAACAAGTTAAAACAGTAAGAATATCATTCATTCATGCACTTCCCGAGTTAGATGACAAAGCGTTTGGGTCCCTCAGGAGAGCCATGGCTATGCCTCCTTTACCTGAGCTGCAATAAATGTCTTCACTTTGAGTTCACATCTCTGGGAGAAACCCATGTCACCATTTCCCACAGCCCTTTGCACAAATTAGTTTTCAATATCTTTACCTAAAAATGGAAAGATTTTATAATTTGTGCACAAAACTGTAATATTTAAAATCTCAATGCTCAAACATGATTGTGTTAACAGAATAATTAAAACTTCCAAACAGAAGCCCTTTAAAATAATCAGATATATGTCTCTACCAGAAGTTTACGATCTCTAGTGACTATTATAAAAGTAATCAGTGCAATTCTGGTCCTTTGTTATATTTGGGTCTGGATGTCCCCCAAAGCCTCATTCAGTCATAGGTGGAGCTTTTTCAGAGGTGGCCCAATCTGAAGTGTGTGATGTGGGGATTAAAGGTGCGAGTGATTACTAAATCAGTCCACTGATTGGTTTAGCACTGTCCTAATTCAGTAGCCTGTATACATATAAGGGACAGAAAGAGATTTGTCTTGTCCCTTGTTACTTTGCTATGTTCTGTCCAGCATGAACTGTTTCTCCTCTGTGATGCCTGTCTGCCATGCCACCCTGCCTTGAAGCCAGCTGATTACGGACAGAAGCCTC